TCGTTGAAGAATTTAAAAGGCAGAATTTATGCTGCAATTTTCCACAGGAAATTTTCAAGCACAATAGAAAGAAAAAAATTCATCATCAACTCATGTTGAAAAAAAATTGAATTTTCCGAGATGTGAATCAACAATAAATGAAGAAGATGAATAATGCGCTGGCTGAGATGATGCCATTAATGCCTGAGCGAGTTGAAAAGATTTTTTTTTTGCAAATTGCATTTTAATTTTCTTTATTCAATTTTTTCATCCCTCATCCTTCCTCTCGATGGCTGGCTGCTGTTGCTGTTCTATTTTTCTTCATAATCATCATCATCTCATCATCATATGAAAATCGACAGTGTAGACAACAAACAAAAGAGGAAGTCAAACAACACAAAACAGAAAATTAAATAAAAAATTGAACGAAGGGGATGAAATTATTTTTTATTTCTGCTTTGGTTAGTTCCAGGGTTGTTGATTGTGATGCCTGGGATATGTGAGGCCTACCTATGGCACATAATTCAGTCACAGCTTAATTATTTTAATATCCCAAAGTGTAGGACATCGATTTTTGATTGCTAGGGTAAAGTGTCTTCAGTAGCCTTAAAAACTGGGGTCCTGATCATGCTGACTAGCATCCTTTAAAACAAAGCAGTTGTTTAGAGATCCTTTTAGTGCTTTTTAGGGAGCTAATGTTTCTAGAATCCGAGATACTTACACTAGTGCCAAAACTGTGTCTTAATCAAACTAGACCAAGTCAAGACATGATATTTTAGGTTAATACTATCCAAGTTTTTACTCCAACTAAGCCTCTTTCAACACTTCCTTAAAATATACCAACCCTGTCTCATTCTTTTATTTTAAGGAATGATGGAAAAAAAATCCAATTTAACTGAGTGCCTTTTCATATTTTTTAAATTCATTTATTGCGCAGTTCTGATTCCTCCTATGCCGATTTATGCAAACTATAAGTGCTTTAAGAGTCACTCATAACTTCTTTGCGTACTTCTTTTATTATATTTCATTCTTTTTTGAGGACATCATGGAAAATATTTAATAACGAAATGAAAATAAATTGGATGATGAAACGGAAAAGAATGAGAGGGAATGGCGAAAAGGCTAAAATGAGATTATAAAGGAAGTGCCGTCTTTTGTGACGCGTAGAAGTGAAAATTTATGAGATTTAATTTTAAACACTTTTGAGAGGAATTTTGAGAAGGCTTTGAGAATTCAATGGGTTGAAGTCAGTAGAGGCAAATGCGAGAGTCATCAGGAGATCTTTTGGATGCTGGTAGATCAAGTCGAATTCAATCTATAACGACAATATTCAAAACGAATTATGTAGCTAGCTCATATCCCCTAATAATCAGCACCCCTCCCAAAAAACATACCCAACTTATTAATTCCATCCCAAAAACTTTTGAAGTGTTTAATTTTTGCTAAAGTATCCCTTCAATCTCATTTAATAACTTCATGCAATCAACTTCAAAAAAAATAAAGCAAAAAGTTTCTTTAATAACTCACTTTGATGGACAGCCGTTGCAAGCATTTCCACATCTAAACCTCATTAATCTCGTTTCATTAAAGAATATAATTCCAAAAAAATATTATTCTACGATAATTAAAGCAAAAAAAGAATCTCCCATTTAATATTTCACTAATTCATCAACCAGTCATTGTGAAAAATCACATACCGAGCGAGAACGACAAATGAATATTATGCAAAAAGTTATTCGCCCCCCTTCCCAATCATATTTCCTGCTCTATTATATTTTCTCGTTCGATTCTATTGTTAAACATTTCATTTTCATGCTGAGAAATTAATTTTTTTCCTTCCTATTTTATTATTTATATTCTCTCATCATCAACGTGTGGATTCTGGTATTGAAGCTATAAAGTGCCTCATGTTGTTGAGAATAATGAATATATATGTGAATGGGAATTGATTGTGAGTGAGTCCATGGTTGGGAAAAAATTGTTTTTTTTTTGGCTGGTTGTGAAATTGTAAGCATGACCAGAAGTAATTTGAGACTACCTACAGGGATTAGCTCTTGAATGAAGTACTGGAGGCTATGAACTGATGTTAATTTTTTTTTGGAACTTTAAATATGCTCTTATTATTTGTTAAATATACTAGTGTTCATGGCACAGCTGAAACTGTGTTTTGAAGTTCACAAATCATTAACTAGGGTTCCAGACCCTCTTAAGCTTGTCAATGATGATTATATTATCCTTAAAATTAATAATAATTAGTAAAGTGAGTTTCAAACTCCTTCTTTGTTGACATTACTATCTTCAGCATGATTCTAAAACGCGAGTATCAAGTTGAAGCTAGAGTCTAACTTAATTGAATTCCTAAAACCTTCAATTAAATTTGTAATAATTTAAACAACATTTAGTAGGAATTGAACTCAAGAATTCATAAATTATTAGAAGCTTCCAGCACTTCTTCCAACCCTGCCCAAATCGATCGAATATTAATTTCATAAAAATTCCTATTATATCCACATTATTCTTATTCGAGCACTTTGATTTGTTTTTCATCCTCACTCAAAAAAGAAAAACTTTTTGTTTGTTCCTTTCGTTTTTCTTTCTTGTGGCTTTATGTGCAACTTTCTTTATGTTTTTTCGGTGGTATTCTCTGCTGCTCGCCTTCGTGTAGTTTTGAAGAATAAAGAAAAATATTGGAATAAATTAATTTTGCAAAAAGGAGGGAAAAAAGTTTATTGGAAAACTTTTGAATTTGTATTTCTTACCATTTCCATCCTCTTTACAAGGCTAATAAATTTTTCAATGAAATTTTTCCTTATCGTCCTCACGTCCTTTTCTTCTCATCTCAAAAATATTCTTCATTCATTCAATATGAAAAAGTTTTCATTCAATAGCATGATGTGGGGTGTGTTCATTAGTGATGTATAGTTTTTATAAGGGTGGGGGTCAGGTGATGTTCAATTTCTCTGATGTTCTTTTTGGTAGAGCTGAGCTAGAGCTAAGCTAGAGCTGAGCTAGAGCTAAGCTAGAGCTGAGCTAGAGCTAAGCTAGAGCTGAGCTAGAGCTAAGCTAGAGCTGAGCTAGATCTGACCTAGAGCTGAGCTAGAGCTGAGCTAGAGCTGAGCAAGAGCTGAGCTAGAGCTGAGCTAGAGCTGAGCTAGAGCTGAGCTAGAGCTGAGCTAGAGCTGAGATAGAGCTGAGATAGAGCTGAGCTAGAGCTAAGATAGAGCTGAGCTAGAGCTAAGATAGAGCTGAGATAGAGGTGAGATAGAGCTGAGCTAGAGTTGAGATAGAGGTGAGATAGAGGTGAGCTAGAGCTGAGCTAGAGCTGAGCTAGAGCTGAGCTAGAGCTGAGATAGAGCTGAGCTAGAGCTGAGCTAGAGCTGAGATAGAGCTGAGATAGAGGTGAGCTAGAGCTGAGATAGAGGTGAGCTAGAGCTGAGCTAGAGCTGAGCTAGAGCTGAGCTAGAGCTGAGCTAGAGCTGAGCTAGAGCTGAGCTAGAGCTGAGATAGAGCTGAGCTAGAGCTGAGATAGAGGTGAGATAGAGGTGAGCTAGAGCTGAGCTAGAGCTGAGCTAGAGCTGAGCTAGAGCTGAGATAGAGCTGAGCTAGAGCTGAGCTAGAGCTGAGATAGAGCTGAGATAGAGGTGAGCTAGAGCTGAGCTAGAGCTGAGATAGAGCTGAGCTAGAGCTGAGCTAGAGCTGAGATAGAGCTGAGATAGAGCTGAGATAGAGGTGAGCTAGAGCTGAGCTAGAGCTGAGCTAGAGCTGAGATAGAGCTGAGATAGAGCTGAGCTAGAGCTGAGATAGAGGTGAGATAGAGGTGAGCTAGAGCTGAGCTAGAGCTGAGCTAGAGCTGAGCTAGAGCTGAGATAGAGCTGAGCTAGAGCTGAGATAGAGGTGAGCTAGAGCTGAGCTAGATCTGACCTAGAGCTGAGCTAGAGCTGAGCTAGAGCTGAGCAAGAGCTGAACTAGAGCTGAGCTAGAGCTGAGCTAGAGGTGAGCTAGAGCTGAGCTAGAGCTGAGCTAGAGCTGAGCTAGAGTTGAGCTAGAGCTGAGCTAGAGCTGAGATAGAGGTGAGCTAGAGCTGAGCTAGAGCTGAGCTAGAGCTGAGATAGAGCTGAGCTAGAGCTGAGATAGAGGTGAGCTAGAGCTGAGCTAGATCTGACCTAGAGCTGAGCTAGAGCTGAGCTAGAGCTGAGCAAGAGCTGAACTAGAGCTGAGCTAGAGCTGAGCTAGAGCTGAGCTAGAGCTGAGCTAGAGCTGAGATAGAGCTGAGCTAGAGTTGAGCTAGAGCTGAGCTAGAGCTGAGATAGAGGTGAGCTAGAGCTGAGCTAGAGCTGAGATAGAGCTGAGCTAGAGCTGAGCTAGAGTTGAGCTAGAGCTGAGCTAGAGCTGAGCTAGAGCTGAGCTAGAGCTGAACTAGAGCTAAGCCATAGGGAACTTAGAGTTGAGCTTAACCAAAGCTATGCTAAAATCTCACGTCACTAACGAACGTCCACCCCAAGAAAGATGAAATCAAGAAAGATGAAGAAGGAAGCAAAAAAAAGCTAATAATAATAAGAAATTACAAAAGGAACGAGCGCAAAAGTTGTGGGTGGAAGCATCAAATGAATGAATAGAAGGCAACGTCAAGATATGAGTGAGGAGATAAGGAGAGGGTAGGAAAGAATATTAAAATATTAATATTCCTTTGTGATGGCTTTTTTTTTTCTTCCTTTGATAATAAGCGCTTCTCCATTTCTCATGGATGAATATTTTCCATGCCATGACTTGGGGCCATGAAGAATAAGAATGAATGCCTTAACTGTTCACAAGTGGATGTTGGGGTGTGAGGGGGAAATTTTCATAATTGGGTACTTTAATATTATACAAATATTAGATTACACAGAAAGGAGCCTTTATGCTCATTTTATGCTATCAATATACTTACATACACATACATGCACAGCAGTTCTTATAATGAGATTTTCATCATCTTTTTCTTTTTCTCTCTCTCTCCCTTAATGACATTAAAATATGTATAGATCTACATCCTGAAGATTCCGGCATGTACACATGTACAGCGTCCTCAGAGGGCAGAGAGACATCATGGTCTGCAATGCTTACGGTGAGTTTTTAACATTATTTATTTTATTTTACATACTTTTTAAGGGTTGGATACTTGCTATGAAATTTTATGGGATGCAAAAATTTAAGGAGGTGATTTGCATTGTATGGGAAAGGCGTTTGGAGGAAATTGAAATTTAATTCGGATGTTAAGGAATATTGATAAAATTTGGATTGTTGTAAAAAAAATTGATGGATTTTTTGTATCCTTTATTCATATTTGATGCTCAGATGGTATATAGAAGGGTGTTGCAGGAGCATTGAAAGAAAAAAAGTTTGAGCACCACTGGCCAAGGTTAAGGAAGTAGCAAACTAAGGAGTGCAACTTGAAATCGCTTCTGGCTTTGCTTCTGTATAGATTATATAAAGAACAAGTAACCTCAAGCTCCTTTACATATTTATATCTAAGGATTATCCAATAACATCGAGCATCCAAGCCTCGTTTCATTCAAATTATCCTCAAAAAAAGTTAAAAACCCAGCTAGAAATAAATTTGCAATTAAAATTAATGAAGATGAAGAAGATGAATAAAAAAAAATCCTTTTTCAACATGCAACGAATTCATAATGAAGTCAGACAAAAGTTTTTCGTCGAACAAATTTTTTTTTTCACTCTAGTTATCTCTTATAGCACACTAGAATTCATCCATAATATTAGCATGTAGCCAAATTAATTCATGATTACCATTGCATTTTTAATAAGTTTTTCTCATTCTCTGTGCTCACGAATATTCATTTCTGTGTTTGTTCATTTCAGGTCGAGAAGAGCTCTACAAGTGCACTGCATCGAACGCCAGACATTAGCATGCTACCATCGTCACCGAGTGAGCCAAAGCTAGTGAATGTGACGGCAATGAGTATAACATTAGCATGGAATAAAATGCAACCGAAGCAGAGTGGTACGACAGCATTTATCGGATATACTGTCGAGTATTTTAGTTCCGATTTACAATCGGGATGGGTAAAGACAGCAGAACGAGTGCCCAGCAATATTGTCACGGTATGTTAAAGTTTCTTTTTATTTCCTATGCATACATACATCCATAGGATACTTCGTTATGCTCTTTTTAATGTTTATCGCGCATAAAATTTTAATTTAGAACAGTAAACAACTTCAATTCGCTATGATTGTGATCATGGCAGTGAATTTACTGCTCATATATTCAGACTCTCTTGCGCTAATGTGCTAATTGATATTTATCGTCTTTTATGGACGTCTATTACATGCTCACAATGCGAAATTGTCAATAAATTATGGACTCTAGCATATGTGTAGTAAAAAAGAGGCATTCACTCTTTTATTTTTATTTTTATTATCTACATCCATTCATTTTGACTTCATTCACTAGACTAGTCAGAAGGCGGTTGGCAGGACAAGGGATGGGAACTGGATTTATTGACAATATTGAAATTCGAATCAATCATAGAGCTGTTATAGATTAAAACCTACTCTTTCCTAATACATGGTTTCATGCCTCCTCCTTGATAGATATTAGTTCCTATTATTGCACTCATTGAAAATCTTACACTCTTAATTAAAAGTATAGCCAGCGTTAACCAGTATACACAGTATAACTTGTAACCTTTCTGGCTACAGCCCAGTCCATGCTCACTCTAAAGCCTGGTTTTATCATATTCCTGTCTAGTTTATTTAATACTTCACTATGACGTGTCACTGTGCTAAGCTCTGGCTAAGATTACATCCCATTCGAAGCGTCCTGGTCTTTATTGGGGTTAATATCAAATGGAGGAGGGTTTGAGATTTTGTGACAATTATAACATCATCAGATCAAGCGGCAGAATTGAATAATGTCTTAAAATAAATTTTTGACGTTACTAAATGAATGAACAATCCTATACTATCCATTAAAATACCATTAACCTCCCAAATCAATCTCACAACACCCCCTAAAGTACCCATCCCTATCAATCTCGGCGACGTTCTTAAACCACTTTCATTACACAATTACATCACTTAAGCAAGCATTAAGTAAGCATTAAAAATCGCAGATAAGCCATAAGGAATGAAATAATTGCAATCATTGAGCTTAAGTTTAGTGATAAATAAAAGAGAATTGATTGTGAACATAATCAAATCCTCACAATAAAATGGAAAGCAACAACTCGTAATATTGTTTTTAATAGTTTCTCGCTACTACTGTTGCTAATGATTTTATTACCACAAAAGGCATTAATAATATTTTATAAGGAAAAAAAATATGTAGATCCATAGATGGAGGAATGAGAAGTAGACAGACACAAAACGATAAGTTTTTTGCCTGCATGATCAATGGGATGTTAGGTAGGAGGTTTTTAATGTGACTTATGGGAAGCGTTTGTGAAGCGTTGTTCTAAAAGACACTAGGATATAAATTATGGATTTTAGAGTCATTAATTATTGCCTATGTTCATGAGATTCATTTGACTTTTATAAGATTAGACGAAATTTGCCGAGATTTGTCTTCTGAAAAGCTTGATTGTCTCAAAAGGAACAAAAAAATATTAATGGTAAAGATTTTCAATGAGAAATTGATGCTTTCTTGCTGACATAATAGTCAGTCTACGAATGTGGGTGTCATTGAGGTGAACACTAAAAGGTAGATAGAGGATGTGTTGAAATTTATTGAAAGTTCTCAGGGTTTGGATGGGTTTATTTATGGATGGTGGCATGGAATGACATGTATTATCATTTAAACTCAATAGCCCAATAGTTTGGATATGAGTTTTAGACGATTTATATTAAGTTGTTCTTTTGAATTTTTGAAAGATTGAAATGTTTTTCAAAATTAGTTTCATTTGAATTTTTGAAAGCCGTTGAAATTTGAATTTCAGAATACTGTTACAATTTGAATTTTTGAATATCGTTAAAATTAACACTTATACATCATGATTACTCACAGATTTCTCTCAAACAGTTCATAATTTTTAATACAAATCCCAACAAAAGAATTTCATTCATGCTTCCACCAACTGTCTAAATACCACATAAACTCAATAATTCACCATTTACTTTCCCACTATCAACGTCCATTTCATTCAATTTAACTCCAACAGAAAGTTGATAGATATCATTTTACCACACATTTCATTAATTATTTAAAACCTCATTCGGAAATAATTGAAGAGAAAGAGAAGCACAAAAAAAAGGAAGAAGAAGAAGAGGCTACTATACATGTTCTACACTGATCTTGCGGTCTTTATGCTTAATGACTTCGGCATTTCCAAGTATGCTAAATTATGCCTCATTTATATATTTTTTTTTTATTTTCACGATAGAAAGATAGATAGATAGAAGTGAAATAAATAGTAGCAATTCATTATGTTCTCCTCTTAACGCTATGGGGGCCACATTGAGAATGAATGGCATACAGAGAGGAAAAAAAAATCAGCAGCAGCAGCAGTACTAAAATAAATAATTCTTCAGAAGAATAAATGAGCTGCGGAGAATTGTCTTGCAATCAAAGCGTAAATATCTGCATGTGTATAATTAAAAATTTGTTTTGCTATATAGCATAAATGTAATTTATCTTATTGCTATAAAATCCTACACACAAACAGATTGGCTCCCTTGGTGATCTCTCTCACTCGCGATGTTTGATTGTTTGATTTGACTTTACTTGACTTTTGTGAATACAAATCATGCGATTGAATGGACTAGGGTTGGAGACTGGTAGAAGATATTGTGTTAAATGGGACAAATTTTTGAGGTTATGTTGATTTTAGATAAGTTTTAGTCTAGTTGAGGTTTAGGAGTATCTCAAGACTATATTCAAGAAACCAACAAGGTATTACGAACTTGTAAAGCTTGTTTGTTCTGACTTGGATGTGATCTTACAAGAATTAGACCTTAGTTGAGATTTTTGTACCTGGATTGGGTTGAAAATGAGCTTAAGATTGAGTTTGAAGCATCTTTTTAGTGTTCTAAATTACAAACTTGACTAGTTTGAGTAGTACTGCATTCCAGCATTTTCAATAACTTATTTTCAACACTTAGTATCCTATCCTCATCAATCCACGTCAAGGCCGTGTTAAAAATAATTCTTAATTATTATTTTTTCTTCTTTTCCATTCCAACAGATTACCAATTTGAAGCCGGCAACATCATATGTGTTTATAGTTCGTGCAGAAAACTCTTATGGCCTTTCCGAGCCTTCCGTTATGTCAAGTGTAATCAAAACATTAGGCACCGACAAGAGTGTTTTACCACCCGATGAATTGGCTGCTGCTCGTTCAGCACTGAGTGTAAAGGTAAGTTTTCTTTGTTCTATATTACATAAATTACTACTGCTGCTATAGCTCCTACAACTTTTTTTTTCTGTTCATGTAAAGTATGAGATGTCTAGCCGGGGCACAAGCTCATAAGTTTTAATGTTCACAATTTAGTTGAAAATAAAAACAAATTTTCCTCATCTCGCACAGTTTGAATTCTCTATTTTTTAAGAATTCACTACTCGACGACCGTAGACGATGATAATATATGGCGATTGCATTAAAGGAAGTATTTCTTTTTAAGCTGTACAGCAATGTTGTACTTACTTATTATTGTTTGTTATATTAAAAGTAATAAATAAATTTTTATGTTCTCGGAATGCAAGAATGAGGAAGGAAAAGAATTTCTCCAATTTTTATATTTTTTGCTACAGCAGTGCTAATATATTTTTCACCGCTTACTTCTTATTGCCTTTCAATTCTAATGCAATTTTTCTTCTTCTTTCATTCCGTGAAATACTGCTGGATATTTTTTTTAAATAGTTCAGCTTGCAACGAAGTGAGAGGATTTTAAAATTGTATGAAATTGAAAATGATTTATCATTCGATTTAAGAAGATGGAAAAGTTTTATTTTTTTTCGGTGGGAAATGCAGTTTTATGTTGGGCATTCTGGATTAATATCGACCATGAGCGCATATTTTAATTTAATTTAAATAAAATCAGTTTTGGCTTGCACTTAACATAATAATTGATATTTGAATGTAAGATGATATTGTCTCATATTTTAAAAAATAGTTAAGCTTAGACTATGCCTAGCTTAGATGCCTTTCTACCCTTCCTTGGCATTTGATGTACTTTAATATGTAGGTTTAATAAAATTGATCTGAGTCTAAGGAAGTAATCGAAACCAGCCCAAAGTATCCAACTTAAATATTCAAGCACTTATAGTTGCAAGGGCTATTCAGCGTATGTGTTGGACTTCTTTAGTAACAATCAAACTTTTGTTAGCACATTGATATGTGATTCAAAGGTTTCTCGGGTAGACATAGACCATGGATTCTAAATGGATGGTCTAGAATCTGCCAATTACATTTAACGATCCAAGATGATCGAACATCTGGTAGGAATCGAACCTACTTCGTCATACAAATGACAAATTATCGATCTGTTGCCTAGTAACATAGCTAAATCGGTCTTGATCTTACACTGGCAGATTTTTTTATTAATAGCTCGATGTCTCAGATTTAACTCTGCTACGAAAGTTTAGTAATATTCCTTAATCATATTAATTACAAATAACTCAAAATCTCAAAAATTCCAACCATCCAAAACCTCCAACGCACTCACTTTAATTCAATTAAAATCAAGACAACAGCCAAAACCATAATTGCACCCTCCATCGAAAAAAATGACGATAAAAAATCCCAAAAGAAGAAAAACGAGGAAAATTCTTCAATGCATCCAGTTGTGAAGATAAAACTGGCGCGATAATTTAAGACAATTTCTTCTTTTTTCTCTCATTTACTAACGAATTTAGTAAATTTATTGCCCAAATATATTTATAGAATTATTCTCGATTCATATTCATTTCATTTTAAATGAAAATCCCTAAAATTTACGTCGATTTTCATGGAATGGAAGAAAAATTTACGTTCCATAAATTTTAATGGTGCTGGAGGGGCAAAATGATCACCATTTGTATCTTTATAAAGAATCTCTCACTCTGACCTAGTGTTCTTAAAATGATTTACAATCCAACTGACTCTCCATCAGACACTATGGAATCGATTCATTTTAAGTCTACTCCTCCTCACATTCATTGCCTTTTCGTGTCTATTTGATGTTTTAGACGAAGATAAAAATTGAACAGAAAGATGTATGTATGTGTATAATTGAGATATAAGAGATCAAGCAGTTAATGAATTTATCATCGGAAGAGGCAATTTTTATTGCCGCCGGAATCCAAAAAATAAAAATAGGAACGATGGAGAAATTATTTTGTTGTTGAAAAATATAAGATATATCTCACTCGCACTCATAATTTCAGTTTGAGAAACTGTATCTTGAAATAAATAAAGAAGAAACTGAAAATGAATTATGTGGACCGAGATGTAAATGATTTCTAGGTTGTGTCTTAGTCTTCTGGTTAGTCTTGGCAATCATTTGCTGTATTGATTGAATCATTCATGCTGTTTTGTTCAATGGCTCTTAATTAATTAAGTGACTTCTTCTTGGTATGTCAATATAGTCTACACGTTCTACTGAATTCTATGGTTGCATTACTTTTTGGTACGGCTAAATTTTTATTAAGAATTTCTAGTTTGAACTGAATAAGTGCATTCAAGACACAAATGATGAGAATTGAACATCTTTCAGTACCAAAACAGGCAATTCTTGTTTTCACATTATTTATAAATCGTCATCTTTCAATAGCAAAATAGTTCCCCATCCCTAACCTCATCTATAGCTCGGGTAAAAATATTACAAAGAATATCAAAGTTGAACGTATCCGAGCACGATTTTTCACTATAAAAAATCTTGTCTTGCGTGTGCTTTATGCTTGAGGGAAAATTTTCATCTGATTTTTTGCTTTTTCTTCTCTATTCTCGATGTTGTTGTTATTCTTGGCAGATGGATTTTATGAGTTTTTTCTCATCTCATCATCAACATCTTTACACTACATCATTTACGAGAATTATTATATACAAACTTCTTCTTCATATTCTTTAACGCTTAGTGATATATATTTAATAATTAGAGCAATTTAGGCGATACATTTTTCATGTTTACTCCCTTCCCTCTTCTACATTATGTTACACAGTTACATCGTATAACTTATATTCTCACATATTTTCAGATCTTTATGTATTTTTTCCTATTTTATTTTGTGTATTTCGATGAAATATCACAACAACAAAATTGAACCAGTGGCAAATTCGTCTCGGATGTAAAATATTAAGAAATATTAAATAAATAATATTTTTTCAAGGCTTATTCACTAGATTAGGTAATTCGTGTTGACGGGTATGTTTTCTTGTTGTGGGGGGTCGAAATGACACTTGCTGCTTCGATGTTATTCAGTTAATTAATGAATTGGGACTTGATCTCATTTCTTTTGATATTTTTGTCACGGTGAAATTGTTTTAAAGTGTTTTAAAGATGCAAAGGTGTTAATTTATTTAGCATTATCAATGTTTTTTGTAATTTAAATTATTTATTTCGGCTGTGATCATTTTTGATGTCAACTAATTTATTAAAATGAGTTTGAAAATGTTTTAAATTAAATTTTTAAGTTATGCTCTATTTTTTTATTTTGATTTTATGTTAAAATAGTTATATTAAGTAATTCTAGTCTATTGTAGTCAATATTAGGTCGAACTTACTCGAAGCTAGTCAACACAGTTTAAACCTGGTCGATACTAGTCAAAAATAGTTCATAATAGGTCAAAAACTAGTTGAATCTAGTCAACACAAGTCGAACCTAATTGATAATAGTCGGGATTATTCAATAAAAGTCGATACTATATTGAAACTAGTCTACACTAGTCGATACTACTCAATACTAGTCGATGTTTTTCAATCCTTTTTGATACTAGTCAATACTAGATTGATTCTAGTCGCTTCTTGTGCGTTTTCAATTTTCTTTCGTTTTTCTTTTAATTATTCATCAAAAAATTTCAATCATCACAATTCACAGCCAAAATTATCCATAAATCATCGATTAGCAACACTTCACATTGATAGCATGCTCAATAATAATTCTGATAATGAGTTATGATGCCGCACTTATGAAGTTATCAATTGTTCCACAAAAAAAAAATCGATAGTATTCCAATCAAATTTAGACACGCGATTAGACAATGTGATGAAAACATTTCACAATAGGAAATTCTGTCTATTTATAGACCCTCTACTATTAATCTAAATTTGACCTTTCTAGAACGAATTGTTCTGCCTTAAAAGCAATTATTTTTAAACATCCACAAGTGTACAATCCTATCTCAAAAGCATTAGTTATGACTCACGAAGAAAAAAAAGACATGAAATTATTAAATTTGTGTGGAAAACTTCTGTTCGTGACAGAATCAAGTAATGACGATGATGAAAATGTTTCACTTTAATCTCTTATTTCTTGTTTCTAGTCTTGTAAAAAAAAATATGAAAGAGGGGCAATTAGAGAAAATTATTTTGTTGCAATATCAAATGTCATAAATTATATTTTTATGCCTCGTTCATTTTCTCACTGGAATATCTTTAATCTCTTAAATAGGGTCGTTCACTAGTGACGTTACTAATTTGTTGCATCCGATTCCTTCTATATTCTTTAATTTTCCACACAACGAGTTGCTGCAAACAGCTTCAAGTACCCCCAATAAAACTAGACATCATTCACGAACAGCTCCTTTACTTTCTATACGTAAGACTGATTTAAGAAACTTAGTTCTGGCCATTTGGGATGTGATGATGACGTTTTGTGGGTGGATTAAGAAATTTTCTGTTCTGTCTTAGAGGCACTTTCTTGAAAAAAAAATCTCTGTAATCTCCTACATCTCACTAAATGTACAGCTCTTCCTTCAAATGGACTCGCCTCTACAATATTTACCAGTCGTTTATGTTTATGATAGATTATATTATCAAATGCTTTCATTTCTCATCCTTTTAATGAGAGTAGGGGAGGGATATATGCATGCATATAAAGACATACTGACTCAAATTGAGAGACGGTTTATTATGTGATATATGAGCATAACAATCAATCTCGTTCAATGCCTTAAGCTGCTTTTTTTATATGAATTTATGCATTTCAGTACACTTATACTGCTGGATTTTTATTATTTATATATTCAGCTACATCCAATAATGTTATGAGAAAAATATACATAATGTATGCAGGGGGATACAGGGGTTTTGGGTTTGTTGGAAATTATAGTGGCTTGTGCTTTGATTTAACTATAGCTATAATGATTTCTGAATGCTAAGGAGGTATAGAGCATATATTAGACAACATTTAAGCGCTCTAAAGATTTTCCTAGATATT